GTGTGTTATACATGGTTGGGGTGGGCAACCCCAATCTGTAGACCTACCCATGCGAGCCGATGGCCCAATGGAAAGAGAGACCTGAACGCCTAAAAGCCAACAAAAGGAAATACCGCACCAGCAGGAGAAAGAAAATTAGCGGCCAAAGGGCACAACTAGGTTGCAGTGAGCTCACATACGTTCCAACATCCTCCAACCAGACGGGTTGGCTCCCATTTCATGGCCTCCAACATGCTCTGTTGATGGGAAATCGCATCCTTCTTCCACGCAAATACTATTATAAGCTAAGCATTCAAGCAACATGTGTTGTTCACCCTCGACTTGGCTACTGGTGCCACAACAGCGGCAAAACCGCTTCCCCCTGGGGACATGGTGCCTGCCCCTTCGGGTTCCGTTTGCCTTCCAAGCCCAGCGACACATCTTGTTTGCCCCTTCCGCGGAACGGCCGTTCTTCGATGATTCGTTCAGCCGCCTCAGCAATATCCTACTACAATCCCCCGCTTAGCTGAGAAAGACCAGCGAACCTTGCGGAGGGCCCTGTAGGCCTCTTGCCATTAGGCCCCGCCTTCATCGCAGCATCCCTACACCCCGTCAATCAATGAAACCCCCGCCCGCGGGTCTTGCAATCTGTTGTTGCAATCCACGGGGAACGACGGTGGACGAGCCGGAAGAAGGGACGCATGGATCACCCTCTCTCTTATCGTCCCAATTCGTTTATTTACTCGTTCAGCCCGCGTGGGCCCGTACGCAGTTCCCGGGCATGATGACGTTCGAGGAGTTCCTACATGCTACTGGATGGGCAGAGCAATCGAGAACGTTTGAGGATGGGATTGCATTCGCGGCTGGGGGGGCAACAGTCCCGGGGGCCAGCGGCAGCGGCGGCGGCGGCGGCGATGGAGGCGGCGGCGGCGCGGCGGCAGCAATGGCGCCACAAACGGAACCTGCAGCGACAGCGACCGTGTCCACCACTAGCGCTACACATGCCAGCACTGGTGCCGCTGGCGAGCAACAGAAGGAAGGGCTGATAAAGGGTTGATTTCTCTTTTCCTTTTCCTTTTCCGCTTGGCATGAAGCAAAAACGCAAGGATTGGAAACAACGATGTGTTCGTTGGGTCGTGTGTATTTTTGGATGTTGCCATATCGTGACAACCTTGAGTTCCAATAAGAAGTTGTGTGTCCAGAATGCCAACAGCATGTCAAGGGGAATGCAGGTGGTGGTGGAAGTGTCGAATGTGGAGGTTACATGTGTGTGAAAGTGGGTGATGTTGTAATGGGACGGGAACGTGTACCAAATCGTACGTATAGCTAAGCAGCGCTGGGGAAGGTGCAATTTGCGAGAAGGAGCTTTCGGTGAAAACAACAATCGTTGCTAAATGCCGGTGCAAAGAGCTATCGGTGCTAGGTGAATTCGGAGCAAAGGGCATGTTGTACAAGGGAGGGTTTGGGAGTACGAAGCAAAGCCATTCGGCGCTATGCGCGAAGTTAGCAGCGTAATGCAGTCTTGAAATGTTCCCTCAACATTTCCTGTTAGTGGCGTTGTGCTGATCCCTGTGTACCTGAGTCTACATGGCTGGGTCTCGGAGCGTGTAGCCTCAGAAAACGGAGGCGATTGTGTCAAAAGCTGGTGTTGGTGTTGATGAATGGTAGGGTAAAGAGGTAGGATGACGATAGATGTAGGATTGCAGAGCGCCATCGGAACCGGAAGGTTGGAGGACGCGTCGTCAGGAAAACGTGGAGTTGTAACTTTGAGATGCCGTCTGCAAGTTTGTGAGACATAGCAACACGCATAACGCACATTACAAGCATAGAGTGTTGTCTGTTGCATGGTTTCAGGGCTAGGAGGAAGCGCGAGGAAGAGGAAAGGTCGGCCCTCCCTAGCCATGATTGTCATCCGCAGCTTTTACAGAAGTGCTACTTGTTGGGATCTGTTGAAGGATGTGGACTTGCAATATGCCAATCCTCCCATTGTGTTTGTTATATGAGTACGGTCCCGCGTCCAATGCCGGCACTATGCGGGCCATGCCGAAGGCCATGAATATGTGTAGAAGGACTTGTTAGCCCGATTTGCGCCTTCAGGTATCAGGTTCAGGTTCCACGAGGGTGTTACAAGTTGCTCGTCCTATTCGTTAAGGGCAGCGGGAAAAGTTTGTGCCACCTGTTGAATTAGGGCTAGAATTAGGGGTTTCCATCTTGTAGCCTGGTTCTTGGTGGCTCAACAGTTTTCAGTGTAATCATTGAGTCAACCAATCGAGCATGTCCAGGCTCCAGGGTCCGAGCATTACGGCATCTATCCCGCTATAGATTCCATCCGTTGCGAGCATACGTCCTTATTGTTTAAGAATGTGTTTCACAATGATAAATGCTTCTCTGAACAAAGCTTGTGATTTAAGGCAATAGTCTTCTTATATCTTGCAATTGTTTCCGATATTGTCTAACCCCATCCTGCACACAGCGAGCCATCTATATCTGCATTAGTCGGCTTGAAGCGTGGGCTATTACGCCTGGGCGGGGAAGCAAGAACTCTTGGGGTAAAGAAGAGTCGCGTGCTGTGGCCCGACAACAATCCGGTGGCGCAGAACACCAAAACTTGTGAAATTGGAACGCTGTTGGAGACCTGCTTGGCCTAATTCACTCGATTGTACCCGCAGGGTTTTCATGCGCGCCACGCCGTTGCAGCTCCGTCGTGAGCGGATGCCATTTTCAATACCTAAATCGTGTTCACTTCGCCGTCTTCTGGTAGTACCTGCGAGGCCAGGGCACAGCGTTGCTCTGCGACGTAGAGGTGCTAGCAAATGTGGTTTCCGAGTTCGGAGCTGCGCCGTGGCCGCTCCAGAGAGGCACCATACTCTATATCGGAGCGAGCTAGGCTACAGAACTGACTTCTCTGAGCAATATTCGCTCTTGGAGGTCATTGGAAAGGCAGGTTTCCCAAGCCCCAAGCTAGCAACGGCTAAATAAACGATAGGGGAGAATTGGATTCAATTCTTGACTTCGCAATACAAGCTCACCTCGCTGAGCTGGCTTCGCGAGGCGGGGAAAGGCGGCAGTTCGTTGTACCTGCCATCGTAGTATCCCAAACCAAACTCTGCCAGTTGATGTATCGCGGGATGTGGTGAATCTTGGTGTTCTAATCATGTATGTATGTTACTGCCTGTGTTGCCCTGCCATATTCCCCCGACACTCGGGGACGTGACCGTTAGCCATTGCTCTTGCCTTTCAGGGCAACTTTGGAACCGTTTGGATGGCAGCTTCGCGTCAGGACCCTTCTCACCATGTGGCTATCAAGGTTATCTCAAAATCCCGTGAGGATCGCTCTCATGACGAGTCTTTGGAATGCATCCGTCGCGAGGTGAGCCCCTATGAGGCAGGCTATACCTACAAGATACAATCTCGCTTCAGCGTGGCCTTATCATAAAACCCCAATCCGGAAGCCCACATCAGTTATCACCCCGGGCAAGGAAAGGGGTGAGAGTCTGACCATGTCACGTCAAGCACACCGCTCGACCCGTCCTGAAACCGCAATCCTACCATCCTACCATCACAGCATAACGTTTTCTCCAGCTCTTCAAGCCGTGCAATGCATCTTTATTCCTTCTGGGGTTCTGGGAATACCACCGTACCCCCAGTAGCCGCACCCGTCCCGCACTCGAAACCCCCAACCCCCACATCCTAGATTGTTTTAGCCCCAACCCGCCCTCGCTTCCCGTTCCTTCCTTTAAGGTCGCCATGTGGGGCTGCCTCAGCGGCGACAGTCGCTATGTCGCGGAGCTCCTCGGGCTGTACGAAGACGGCAACAACGTGTACCTGGTGCAGCAGCTCTGCCTGGGGGGCGACCTCTCGCAGGCGCTCAAGGTGGAGCAGAGGGGTTGGTTGGGGTTGGTTGGGGCTGGGCAGGGTATGGGCAGGGTATGGGATTACCCTCCGTACTGCGGCGTCCGTAGGAGAGCGGGCCCTGCAAGAGCCAGGAGGCCAAGGGGTTATTTGTAGATTATAAATATTAATTTTAATTTTTAATTTATATTAATTTAATATGGATAGAATTTGTTGTCGTTGATACATTTAACAAGTTGAATGTATAATAAATAAAAGAATTAATGTTGGATGATAAATATGGCCACCTGTCTGGTGTTGCCCCGCGTATCGGAGGAGAGCGAGATGTGCTTCACACCGCTTTTTTACATACCGCGTATATGAACCCTCCCGCGGCCTGTCTTCCTTGTCTTCCCTGCGCCCAACGACTCCTATGATGTTTTAAAAACGCCGTCGCTCTCGCTTTCCTCTCTCGTCCCCCGTTCAGAAAGGTCCCCTGCCGGAGGGTGGCTGCGCCGCCATCATGTGGTGCGTCTTGTCCGCCATCCGCGACTGCCACGACCACAACCTCGCCCTCATCGACGTCAAGCCACAGAACTTTCTGCTGACGGGCGCGGCGGCAACAGCGACAGCAGCGACAGCGACAGCGGCGACGGGTTCGGCGCCCTCGGCCTCCGGGTCGGACTCGGGAAGCGGTCAGAGCCAAGGCGATTATGGTGGCGTACGACACCTGCGGTTGGAAGACCAACTGAGTCCGGGGGCAAGCGGGCCTTGCGTGGTGGCCTGCGACTTCGGGTGAGCGTTGTGCTTAGTTGGGTGGCCTTTGGGTGTGTGTGAGTGTGTGTGTGAGTGTGTAGCGAAGGCGTATGCCCGCAGCAATGCATGGCGCCTGCATTTTTCATACTTGCGCCATGGCTCATGCCTTGCAGCTTGTAACAACTTAACAATTAAGGTTGTAGTTCAGGTGTTCCCCTTCTTTCCCTAAAGGGGACGGAGTCCCGGCGATACCTGCCTGAGGAGGAAGGTATTTCACAAACATGAGCTCTTTACAGTTTCTATAGTATCGATGGAAACGCCTCCGTACATCCGTGTTGCCTGTAATCCCTTCTTGACGTGATACGGCCGCCTCACCATACGCCTGCAGGTGCTCGTTGTCGTACACTGAGCTTATGCGCGGCGCCAAGCGCGCTGGCTCCCCTGTGTTCTTCGCACCCGAGCAGTTCACCAGCAGCTACAGCCTTGTGGTGGATGAGTGGGCGGCGGGTGAGGGCGGGGTGTGGAGAATGGGGGGATGGGGGGTAGGGAGGTCCGCGTGAAGGCCCTACGCCTTTTCTGTCTTTGGCGGTTAGCTTGGGGTTTCAGCTTTACTTGCAGCAGTCCCACAGGAGCGTGTTTTGAAGTGGCCTGCGGGTTGGTTGAATGTGGAGGGGGTGCGCAATTGGGTAGCGAAAAAAAGCAATGAATGAGCATATGTAGCAAGAATTTATATAGGAAGGAATGTGCACCGCACGATTGTTACTAGGTCAACAGGCAAGGGATTGGAGTACAGGATGTGGACGGGAAGGAACCTCGAAGGCCGCTCGAGTGAGTTAGTTTCAGTCTAGGCACACACACACACACGCACGCACGCACATTCTCTCACACACATACATACTCACACACATACACACACAAAGGGTGAGCTTGTGTCCCGGTGGTCCCTGAAAGCCGCTGACGGTGCGTTTAGAGCCGCTGGTGTTGTTGGTTGTTTCCACCGGCTCACACACCTCTACTGCTGCTACTGCCGGGGGCCGGATCTGGATCTCGTTCTCTGACGCAGCACCCTAAACCCTTGTCGGCTCTGCTTTGGCATTCTAATGCGCTGACCCTCCTTACCTCCGTGTCCATCACGAATGGCTATCTCAGCCATCCATCGGTCCGCCCTCCATCTACCCTTTGTCTAATCTCTCTCGCCCAACAGGTGTCATGCTGTATCTGCTGCTGACCGGCCGGTATCCCTTCTGGGACCGCACGCGGGAGGACCTGGACAAGTCCCTGCCGGCGTACCAGGTACGGGGTGCCAGTCACACAGTGCCCCCACCGCAGGCCGTTGTGGCGGGGATGGTGACGGTGACGGTGACCTACTGGCTTTGAAGTGCGTCCATCATATTCCAAAAAACCTTTACTTCTTTTGCTGTGGAGAGAGACCGAATGAATGAGCGGCTAATCCCCCCCCTCGGTTTGGTGCTACCGCAAGGTGCCCACGGAAAAATACCTTTAGGCCGCCTCTACCTTGTCTACCCCCGCACACCCACCATCCGTCTATCCGTTTATGGATTTTGCTTTCCGTCAATCGTCTGCTTGCTTCTTCGTCGTACCCCTCACACCCTTCATGCACGGCACGCTAGCGGCTCACGCTAGAGCCTGTAGTTCATTCTCCCTCCAGCTAATACTCCAGGTTACTCCACTCCCCAGTTCCAACACCGCCCCCGCAACCTCGCAATTTGGCCAACTTGGGCGTACAGGTGATGCTGGCCGTGTGCAGCGCACCCATCGGCTTTGGCGGCTCTGAGTGGCGCGACATTTCACGGGAGGCTCGGGACCTGGTGGGCATGCTGCTGGACCGTAACCCCACCACGCGTCTCACCGCTGACCGGGCTCTGCAGCACCCGTGGTTTGCACGCTGGATGCGGACGTCTGCTCCCGATGGTGATGACGTCACCGCTGCCGCTGGGTGTGGCGCATCTGGGGGAAGAAGGGCGGCGGGGGGAAGGTACGATGACGCCGCAGGGCGGCAGCGCCGTGCTGTTCAGGGTACCGGAGCGATGGCGGCTGCAAACACGCCCGCCATGGGTGGTTGCTGCTGCGGCGGCGGCGGAGCTGCCGCTGCCGCTGCCGCCGCCGCTGCGGCGCGATCAGGAAGTCAGTCGGGCTTTGACTTGAATGGCTCGACGCTAGCTCCTTGCTGCGGTGGCAGCAACATCGTGCCGCTGCTGACGTCGCAGTCCTATGCGCCGCTACCTCCTGCTACTACTGCTTCTGCGGCGGCGGTGAGGATGGACATGGCCGCGTCGGACGATGAGGATACGATGCAGACCGGCTGCTCTGTCGCGTCGCATTATTGACCCCCGACGATCAGGTGGAGAAACACGCGCAGCTCCCCAAGCGGGTGGCCCTGGGGCTTGGCCTTGAGACGCTATGTGCCTGCACGACGACTGCATCATCCCGAAGGCTTCCCATCATCCGTTGCGGCGAGCTGAGCTGAAGGGGGTGTGGGATGCTATGCATGAACTGCCGCAGCTGGTGGTGCGGTTTTGCGTATCGCCTGCGGATTTTGGGAAGGCGTCGGTCGCTCAAGATGTGGAGTGGCGGTGGTGGTGGTGGTGGTGGTGGTGTGCGCTCTAGATGTCAAGCAGGCGGAGGATGAGCAAATGCGAATCTTGAGGTACGGGCCGGCGGGTGGGTTATCATCTCTGGATAGCTTTTGCGCAGCCTTCCGCGAAAGGGTGTGAACCGGATTATCTATCTAAATGAGGAGGAAGGGGGCCCTATCCCGGGCTGGCACTGGGTTGCACTTGTCCAAGCGTGGTGTGCTGTGGATCCCTTTGTGTGCACACGGCCGCGGAAATCTGCTGGGTAGCGGATCTCTATTTCTCTTACTTGTGGCGGTGGCAACGGCGCTGTGCTGTGACGCTACGGTCTGCCGGTTGGCCTGATCAGACGCTGTCAGATGCCGTCAAGGTCCTCTCTGTGCGCCGAGTACGTGGGCCCCATTTGTGGTTCTGTTCACGCATTTCCCATGTCGGTCTGTCTGTCTATCTGTCTGTCTATCTGTCTGTGTGTCTGTCTGCAGATGTTACGTAGGCACACGCATGCGAGAGAGTGGTGTGCAGGAGGGATCACGTCCTGGCGGGTGGCTGGTGGGTTCGCATCGGAGAGAACGGTGTTGCGTTGATGGTGTCGTGTAGAGGACTTCGCAGCAGGCTATCACATATCACAAAAGAAGATATTTGTTATTTGTCCTTTTCCTTTTCTCCTGCTTTGGAAGTGGTGCATACCGAAGTGAAGGGCGTTGGTTGCGCTTTAGAAGGGCATTAGCATTACCCGCGGCACGCCGCTAGCAGAGTTGAGAGGCGAGGTCGCGTACTTGTGCTTTAACACGCATGAGCCACACCACGATTATGAAACGTCCAGGGTGGCAGGCGCACGAGCAATTTCACCAGAGGAAGTACTCGAGCGTAGTGGTTTAGCGCTTTTCCCCGTACATGTGCGTGTTTATGTATGTGCGTGTGTGTGTATCATCTACATGTGTGTTGTATGTCTGCATGTCTAGTAAGAAATTTCGGGTTGTTTGGGAATAATAGTAATGGGATGCGCTTTTGCGGGGCGGCGCAGTAATGCATTGCCGCGCAGTGTATGGGTGGGTTGCCGCGGTTGCTGTGCCCTTTCGTGCACTGCCTCCTGCCTGCCGCCCCCAAGTCTTCCGATCATCGAGTGGGACACTGATGACAAGACACCTTGCGCACCATCACACCATTCGACTTTGAGGACAAGATTGCGATCAATCGCTTTCTAGAAAGGAACTGGCAAATCTCCTAACTAGGCTTGGTAGGCTTGCCTGTTTGGCGGTGTGAATTGCGCGCATGGTCGCAACCTTAACAACCCTTCGGTCCCCGGCTTTTCGCGGCGAATCGAATAGTGAGGCGCGCATGGTGTGGGGGCTGTTACTGGCGGGAAGGCACGGGCGGGGGCAGTCAGGCACCCAATGTGCGGGTTGAGCGTTTGGCTGGAGATGAAGCTATAAAAGACGCGCCCGCCGTTGTGGCGTCGCAGTGCCCTGCGCGCGCATGCACGATCAGTGTTCACTCGCGGGCCTCCCCCCGCGCGCGCCCTTCGTCTCCCTCACAGTGTGTGTATCGGTGTGCTGTATGTCCGCGCCCTTTTTAAAAGTTTGTGTGGACACACACATACACACACATGCACATACATGCACATACATGCACATATGCATGCTGAATCCGGAAGTGAAGTGAAGTGAAGTGCGCGGGTGGGCACAACTGGAGGAGCGCAGGCGGGCGGAAGCCGACGCGCCGCTTGTTTCCTGCATTTTGGACAGGGGTTGTGCCTTGGCGTTGGCGTTCTGTTCACTACCTTTGCCGCACATGGGCATTCTGTTTCGGCGGCACGGGGCACCATCGCTGCTGCACGTGCGGGTCGTTTACAGGACGGCTGTAGTCCCTGTATTGTTTGTGCTGCTGCTGCTGCTTTTGTGTCTATGTGTGTGTCTGTGTGTACGTGCCCTTTATGTGCTCTAGCTGCACCATGAAGTTAATTCAATAATTCTTGTTCAGAGTGGGAGAGCAGTATTGCGACATGCGACATTCGTCAACTGAAACGTAAGAGATATGGAGAGCGAGTGTGTGTACGTGTGTGTGGCGGTATCCGTGGATGACGTTGCCGTTCTCGGACAAATGCCATTGGGATGTTTTTTTAAGAATTCCTTCTGCTGCTGCTGCTACTGCTGCTGCTGCTACTGCTGCTGCTACTGCTGGTGTGGTGGTTGAACGGGCCGGGGCTTTTGGGGGTTTCCTTGACCAAAGAAAATCAGTCAAATTTTAGTCATTTTCGTTCGTGTACTGATCCTGCGTGTTGCGATCTCTTCTTCAGTCTGCCTGATTCGCAAAAACATATATGGTATTCCTCTTGGCATTTTTAGCTTTGGTGTAGTGCCTTGCGGCTGCCGGGCTTGAGGGGTCAGCAACGACAATTTCCGCTTGACAGGGGTTCTTGGCTGCCTTTGTGTCACCTTGACGGTGGTGACGGTGGTTCGGGGCCCGCTGGCCTGGGGGCTCGTTAAGAGACCTGTCGTGGATATCTGTAGCCAAAGCTGTCTTGCGATGACGTAGTAGACGAGGTATCCGCGTTCCTTTGCGCCTCCCCCGAGGGGGTTGTCGCCTGTGGGGCCTGTGGCTGAGGTGTCCATATGATGCAGCTCGGAGGGTGCAAAAGAACCTTCTTCTATCAGGAGAATGATTGTGTCGCAGAGCTAGACGGCCGCACAGCTGCTCTCTGGGAGTCTGTATGCGCCGCGATCCCGTGCTGTGACCTTCCCCTCTCCCCATGACTTTTATTCGCTGATTGCTGCTAGACGGCCGGGATTTATGTCGTCGCTATGTGCCGGTAAATTTGCGCGTGGACGTTGCATGTATGTTTGTTTGTTTGTGGACTTAGGGGCGTGTCCCTTCTGGGCACGATGATGCTCATCTGCGGGTCAGGTTAAGGTGGCCTGCAGTTGCCTAGAGAGAATATGCATTATTGGCGCTTTCAGGTTTCGCCGTGTTGCCGCGCACCTACCTGCCGGCCTCTTTTTCCTGTCTGTATTTTTCCTTCCTACTGTCCTCTGTCACACGTTTTGGTTCTGGAAGGTAAGTGTTTCATGGGCATAGCATGAAGGCACATTTTCTTTTCGTACGATATGGCACTTTAGTACTCTGTATTTATGTGTAGGGCAAGGCGAATGCACGAGAGGACATGGTAAATAGCACAACGCACTGGGGGTCACAGCTGACAGCAGCCCGAGTCGCGTGTGAGCTGTGCGAGAGCTTTGCCTCGAGGCCCCTTCAGCAAACATGGATTTCGTTCCTCTTTTGCCAAAAGCATAGATGCATGCATGCATGTATCTATACATTAATAGATGCTATACACCGCATCGCACGAAATCCCGTTTTGTTGGGCCTAGGTCGCCTGGGACTTGACGACCTGCTTAATAAGTGGTTGACGCTGTTAATCTAGATTTGCTTGGGTGCTTCCTATTCGTGGAGAGTTCACCCTCCATGCACTGAGTACAGCTGTTATTGGCTCCGGTCTTGGAAGGCGAATGAGTACGGAAGCACCTCGCGTGTTTTTTTGCTTTCTATGTATGTATGTATGTTGTTACAGGGTGGTTAACTTCGCCAGCGGCCCCCTTTCCCGGGGCAGTCCCTGCTCTCCCCTGCTAGAGGGGCACCCTAATCCGTCACCCCATCCGACTTCAGAATGTATTCGTTGGGTTCGGCAACTCACCACCAGCATCCAACCAAATCTAGCGGCTCAACGGCGCATCAACTTAGTTCCTGGTCAGCTCGCAAGTTGATATTATCACGTCCTACACCGTCCATAAGATGGGGGGCCACCTCCCATTTCATCACTCCTCAAACACCCGAGGAGCCGGCAGGCGGATTTGAACCCGGGTCGACTGGGTCGACTGGGAGCAGAAGTCAGGCCTTAACCTCTGCCAGCCGCCTGCCTATGTATGTATGTATGATGTAGGTAGGTAGGTAGGTAGGTAAGGAGAGCAGGTGAGCTTGCTTTGTGCCCCCCGAACTGTGCGCGCATGAGCCCGTTTAGCTATATGCCAAAAAATAACCCATCGCCGCATGAAGGGTTTCGTCACGGAGTGACTGTGAGAGCATGTGCAGAGCGTAGCGCGGCATGGCGTGGGAAGGAGAGCCTGTTGGGATACCTGCGCGCGCGCAGCGGGCAGGCGCGCTGGGTGATGGAGCGAGATGTCCAAATAAGGTGGCGGAGCAGTAACTGTGCAACCGGCTTTCTTCCCGTGTGCGAACTCTTGTTTTGGCTTGGGGAGGAATGAAATAGAATGAAGGTGGAAGTTCACACTGGTCCGGCCATGCGGTCGCGTCAGGTTCCTAGTTTGTGGTGCCATGCAAATACGTGCTTTGTACTTAATCTCCCCCATCTGGCAATCCCTCATCACTGGCTTGGCGGCGACGCTGTGGCCCTTATGGAGCAAGATCGTGTGTGTAGGCTGTGGCCCTTTTGGATTGTGCTGAAGTGTCGAGTGCTGCTTTCTGCTGCGATTGCGGTGGCGGCGGCGGCGGCGGCGGCAATCGAGTGCCACAGCTGCGCTGCTTGCTGCTGCTGCTGCTGCTGCTGCTTCTCCTATGCGGTGGCGGCGGTGCCTGCGTAGTGTGGTACGGCTGTGTGGTACGGAGTGCTCTGGGAGAAATTGACGAATGTATTCATACGGAGCGATGGTCAGCTTTTCCTCGGTTTCCATCTTTTGTTGCGTTGAGCTTCCTTAGGTAGGTTGGAAAAGGAACGCTTCGGCGACGGGGAGGTTTCCCAGGTGGCCTGGGGCCCGTTTGAAGCGACATGCGTGTGTGTGTGCGTGTCACAGAACGCCCGGCGACAGGCGGCGCTCGGACAAAAGGGGATCGAAGGCATAGCTGGATAGGGGAGGAGGAGGACGAGGTGGGAGAATTTACACCCTCGTTTCAAAAGCGCCAGAAGGGCTCAGGAAGCCATTCTTTAGCGGCGATTCCTGCCACAGGACAACTAGGTTGTCACGTCGTCCTTGTCCCCTTTCGTCCTTGGGCACGGTGTGACTTATGGTACGACTGATGGTACGACTGATGGTATGCAAAACTGCGGTCTCTTGATGAAATGACGAACGATGGTCCATCCCCCCGCCGGATGTTGTACAACAGCGGTTACGTATGTGCGCCAGTTGGGATTGATGTGGTGTGGCGATATGCCTTTTGCGGTGGTGATAGTCGTGATGGCACTGTTCGTGGCGGTGTGCGTGTCTAATCGATGGTGTCTTTAAAAGGGCTGCGGTGGAGATCGGTATGGCGGAATCATGGAGGCGCCGTACAGGTAGGGCGTTGGCGGTCTCACGTGGAGGGCAAGCGCGGCACCAACAGGTGCCGTAAGATATCTTTGTCGCGTAATAGTAGTAAATACTTGGAGGAGTGATTAGGTGGTAGGTAGGACAGCAGTAGGGGCGGGTAGGGGCCGTCTGCATGATGACGGTCATCAGTTGCTTGCGGCTGTCTGACGCGTTCGGAAGTAGAAGATACCTTTGTTTGGTTGTATCAATTATGTAAGTATAGGCTCTAAAAGGTTTTACGTACGCTCAATCGGTATAATAATAAACTACCAAGGTGACCAGGTGTCACATATCAGCGGGTCGTGAGCCTTGCGACTTGTCACAAACCAGCGGCTCATTGTGCGACATCCCGGGCGGTGACTTGCGTCTTTCTGCGTCAGCACAATAAAGAGGGTGCCCTGATTCATTCCGCGCGAATTTCATAACTTGAAGCATACGCTCAATCAAAAAGCCCAGCGCTCACTAGCAGCAGCGTTCAGCACCGATTCACCAGACCGCGATAGGACGTTAAAAGCGGTACGGGCAGCTGGAGGGGACGTGAGCTTCACATACCGTTGGTGTCAAGGCGCTGTGATGACGTGTGGATACAGCCACACACATTCCACGTACGTCCTTCCAGCCCCGGACCGGTGATGGGGTCGATATGGACTCCAATAATATACCCCTGAGCACGTAGATTACTTTGTATTTGTACATGCTCTGTGCTAGCCAGCGCAATGCTTGGCTTATGCGGACGGCATCTGTGACCCTCGCTGTTTATGATACGATTTCATTGCGCCCCGTGTGCTTGGCGCCCCTAATTTCCGGCGCATAAGACTAAAAAGTCTCATGCGCGTCGTACAAGTGCCTGCTGCCGGGTTGAGGGTAGCGCATGGCTACTGGTTGTGCGGATAGTTCGTACGCACTCTTACGCACAGCCCCCTGGAATGAACGCGTGTTGGTCAGTCGCCAGCGAGTCGCTATGCTGCACAACGCAGATTGCATGTGGCCTTATTTAAATCCCACAACAACACCGTACCCTGACGCACCAAACGCAATTTGGATGCAAAAAAATGGATTTCCGTCCTCGTGCGATATCCGCCGGGTGAACGTTTGCATGCGTACAGCTGTGCATCGTGGCTGATTCGAACAGCGTTTTCCTTGAAATGCCCCACTACAAGCAAGAAACGGTTTGCTAAATATATGGCCTAGGTGCGCAAGCAGGTTTATAGGTTTCATTGGCTGACGAGCGAGAGGGTTTAAATACCCTGCCTCCGCTGGTGGTGTGCTGGCGGTGAAAAAGCACTGCTGGTAAGGGCAGGTAGGAGTCAGTGGTGCCTCGATTTGAATTTGAACGGCCAGGCTCGCGCCTTCGACAGCCTACAGCTACCTTAGGTCCTAGCTTTCCTCAAGAGTTTGGGAGCTGAGCCCCCAGCCGGTCTGCGTGGTGACCACCTCATAGCGCATTACGCCACCGTTAGGTTGCCAGTGGGAAGCATACTTAAAGAGTTCGCAAGGCGGCTCGACGCCCGGTGGGAGTGCCCGGATACCCTAGGTAATCCACACACCTTCCAAAGTGGAAGTAACGGCGTCAAGGCATGTCGCTATCTGAACTGGATGGGGGCGGCCCCGCTTAGGGGCACGCAGCATAAGTGGCTGGCCCACGCTGAAACTGCCATGCCCCAACATTTGCACCAAGTGTTTATGCGTTTCCGGTTAGGCTGTTGGGAGTTAACCGGCCCAGCGGCCATGAGCGCAAAGCGCGCACCTGCAAGCTTTGCGACTGCGGGGCGGTTGGAGACGAAATGCATGTTTTTGTGGAATGCCCGGCTTACACTAGTACACGGGCTAAGTACGAACGTGACCTCGCATTTCAAGGGCGCGCGACATGCGCACGATTATGACCGAGGACCAATCCCTGGCACTAGTCAGGCACGTTGCTCTAAGGCGCTTCGTGCTAAAGCGGACGAGGGAGGACGATGCTGGTCCACCACGTAACCGCACTTTACGGACACCCCCGCACTTGTGCGGAACTTGTAACTTGCTACCTATGCAGACTGCCCGTGAGGGCCGTCCGCTCTGACGTCCTCGCATCCTCCACTGCTGAAGGCGGATAGACAAGCGAGCTCATGCAATGTAACTTTGCACATAATGTTACCTCAGTATGAAGGTACCGTTATGGGATCGGTTCCCGCTCCCAAGGGAAGAGGACTGATGCTTCAAAGTGTACAGGCAGTCCTCTTCAGTTCACTCAAGATGAAAAGATCGCCTTGAGAAGGATCGTGAAGGATTTCCGCCCTTCAGCAGGAAAAACAAATTGGCTTTCCAGCCTTCAGAAGAAGGCCCGAAGTTATACGATTTGCGCAATAGTCCTTGATCGCTTGCACCGAATGGCTTGTTGTAGCGCTGTAGCGCGCGGCCGCATTCCTCTAACCAGGTAAATTTCTAGTTCGATTTGTGGCAGAAATATTGAAAGTTCAAAGCGGACCGTAAAATGCTGTCGGACGAGATCTAAGGTATGCCTTGCAGCTCGGCGTCCAATGCCTTTGAGCGGGAGAGCCGAGCGGGCGGTTCGCGCTCGGCTGACTTGCAGGTAGACAAATTTGCAATGTATTACTAATGATACAATTTTATTATTTTATTGTGATATCATCCTTACCCTGCAGGTCTCGGCACCATGTCTTTTTAGGAATTCACTGCCGATTCAACGTTCATGGTCAGTGCTCTGGACAGCCATGCCTTGTATTACACCGGACAAATTCGGGACCAGCTTATTACGAATGTGACAAATTATTTGCAATACTATGCCCTTTTGGCCGATGAAAAGAGAGGGAGTGCATACCTACCGGACACTCGACTGCACGCTCTTACCTGTAAACTTTTTCATGCGAGACGATTTGTTACGCGTTTTGACTTCGGAACTATTGAAATTTACGTGCAGTCAACGTATAAAGAGTACGGCAGTTGTAGACAGCTTGAATGCAAATTTTTTTGTTAGGAGGTTGCTTGAGTGAGGCATAGTGCGTGTATATTTTATTAATGCAGCTGCCACCTCCAGCGAGTGTCAGAACGAGCGCTGCCGCGAAGGTTCACTCGTCACTTTGCTGCTCGAACGGCAACGAAGCCCACATATGCTGGTAGGGTTTTTTGCACACTTTACTTCAACAGCAGTACAAGCGCAAGGAAACGGCAGCTTTTGATCCGCACATGTCATGTCGAGAAGGAGCTTCGAGTGGCCTCTACCTCTTCTAATGCACCTCTTTTAAGCAAGCTCAACACAGGCACAAGTGAGTGCCAGTCCTACCTGAAATTTCCGTCCTTTGACTTTCTCGACCATGGCGCGATATGCCGGGTAGAGCATAGAGTCATTAGGCCGCATCAAGCCGGCGCAATTTTTTCCAAGTTTTATTTGCAAGCGGTAAATACTGTTATGGATTGCTGCATACCTACTTTCCCGCTTTCCCCAAAGGAAGGTAATGCGCATCTAGGTAGCGCGGTCAAAGCGAGTAAAACATGCTGTCTGCGGCGGCTCAGTGAGAATAGATAATGTCTCCTCGGCGTCTGGAAGAAACTCATTATTTTTGGCCTAACCTGACAGGACAGCCGCGGATTCCTTTGCCCAAGTACCTATGCCATTTTTCAGTGCAAGAATGCTGGCAACCACAGCCTTCACTGTCGTCATTCTGTGCTTCTTGCCGCAACTGAATTCCGTGCTTGCGCAAGGTAAGGATCACTGACTGGTACGTCATTTGGCCGTTGATGCGTAGATCAGGGAATTGGTGGGTGCCCATAGGACACAATGCTCGTGAAGTCCTTGACAGTACACAGTGGTCGATTTAAGCTCACAAAATGGAGAGGGATACGCGAGGTATTAGTATCGCAATCAGGGGTATCGACGAAAGCCGTGCTTCATATCCCGGTTTGGAAAGAGATCTGAAGTTTGCAAGGTCGCCCCTGCCCCTGCGCCTTGCTTGCTGAGAGTGTGTGAATGTGTGTGTGTGTCTGTATTATAAGTCTGTGCCGTTGCTGTGGCAAACATGTATGTTGGACTCTCTCTTCCCGCCCTCGCTGAGCAGTCCATTCCCTGCTGCTGCGTTGCTCCGTCGGGGCAGCTGTCCCCATCGTGCGAATGGTATAAGCAGCGAGCCGCTCGCAGCTGGGATGCACCACATCAGTCCTACATCCCGCGTGTCGTACTTGCGCTTGGCTTCTGTGCACTAAATGTCTCCCAAACCTTTGCTATACTCCCGTGAACGGCACATCGTTTCGCTCGCCATGTGTGTATCTGGGCGTACATGTGTGTATGCATTCCCCTCCCTCAATACGCGCGCACGTGCACCAAACCGTATACATCTATCTGTTCGTGGTGGTCGCGTTGGCCGTCCCACCGTCCCACCATGCACATCTATTCACGTTCGTCCTGAACTTATTTAACAATCAAGCGCTTACCTGCTGTTTGGCGACTTTGCTCCAGGTGTCTTTCCTGTTTGGGATTTTACGTTAACACCTTTCTGTTTTCTGCTGTTTTCAGATCCTCCCGACTATCCGCAGTACAACTGCAGTACGTCACCGGCTGTGACGTACACTGCAGTACGCGAGGACTCCCTGTACTATGTTTCAATGAAGTTCAACGCCTCTGTTTCACAAATCCAGCTTGACAACCGCCTGGACAACTATACGGCAAAAATCAGGGAAGGGCAGAGGCTGGTAGTTACCTGTCCAGGTAAGCATCCTGCCCCGCTCGTTCCAGGCAAGGCATGCGTGTGCCTGGCTACCGCGCTGTCGCCACCGCGGCGCCGTACGTTTCCCCCGAGCTTTTTGCGTTTTATATTTGTCGTTACTTTTTTCTACCTGTCCATATGCAGAGAGAAGCAGTGCTTGGAGCCCGCCGTTTGGCATTCCGGATATGTCAGTTAATTTGTGGAGTGGCATGGCCTCGGCGCCAACCGTGGTCAAATGTCCGCCCAATGAGTACGTCGTATCTTTCTTCATCTCCGCCAATCGGGAGTGGTACAGCTGGACAGGCACGCTCGGTATTAGGTGCAGCGGTGGCAGGAACTTCTCCTTCAATGCGCAGCCAGCCAACACAAACGCCACCATCGACGGCGAGACGTCACAACCTAGCGGTACGGTAACTCCGATCCGATGTTTCCGTGCTGAATATTGGCGAGCGAGCCAGTTGGCCAGAAATGAGCGAGGTAGAAAATAAAAATGTAGCGTTTGGTTTGCTGGCTGCTGCTGGCGCATTCTGCCCTGTGTTCGATGACCCGTGTGCTTGCTTTGAACGGTAATGAGCATGGCGCGTCATCTGCTGCCCAAAGGCCAACGCGCATGGGTTTGAGGACTTACGCTTACAGACGCATTTCACTGCCGAAGCGTGTCCATGTTACGTGCTGTCCCATTCTATTTATTGCTTTGCCAACTTTAACCCCCTCACATACTTTCACCCCCTCGCACCATCATCAAGTTCCATTATTATCCGACACCTCATGACTCCCGGAGGACTTCCTCCGGGAGCTCTGTCTTGCTCTGCCTGGCTCCGGCTTGCATCGTGCCGCGGCATACGTTGGCATTTCCCCCTGCAGGACACTCTTACGCTGTCGGTGCATATCGATTGTCGCTCAGGTTTCAGGAACGCATATGCATGCATACATGCACACCTGCGTCCTGGTCCTTATTGTTGTTCTTTGGTCCTTATTGTTGTTTTCTGCAGGTTTGAAGGTGATCTACCTTACGACGGCTACGATTTCCATAGAAAGCGTCCTGGGCGTGGGACTCTACAAGGAAGGAAACACCGAGGTGTTTGAATGTCCACAGGGAATGTTGATTGCGGGTTTTTCAGCTGGGGCTTATCCGCTGATGTGGCAAGCGCCCCGGAGAAGTAGCTGGATTTGTAACCTTCAGTTCCTTTGTACAGGTGCGCACGACAGGGAGAAGTTTAGGTGACAAAATTGAATAAACGAGGAATCAGCAACCGCTAACAGAAGAAGTGTGTTACTCGACAAGTTTAGCTTCAATGCATTCGCTCAGGTTGACCGATTCTGGTCGCATTATACTAACCCGTTCGGGGTCCACTGTAACAATCGCATTCGCATTATGTGTGCTAGGAAGTCCCGTAAACCATGAGTTTATGGAACCGTTGCACAGTTGTTAGCTGCAACAACTAACGGTGTTTAGTTGTTACGTTGAAGCTCCGACTCTGCTGCCGGCTTCTTTTACGGTATCATCGAGTATAGTGCCGCTTAGAAAAATAACGAGATGTGTTGGGGTCGGTAAAGGGCGGTCCTGGTGAGCCTCTTTGGGCAGCTGAAGGAGGTGTTCCCCGACGACGACACCGACGCAATGTATGCATGTATGTATGTATGCATGTATGTACACCCCACAGGGCTGACGTTCCCTCCGCCGCCGCCACCACCACCAAAGGCCTCCACCCAGCCACCACCGCCCCCACCGTCGCCCCCACCCCCAAGACGAGGTAAAGCTACTTTTCCGAGATCCTTGTAAAATCCCTTAATGTAATATAAGTACAGGGGCAGGCGCTAAAATGCCCCTTGACTAGCACTGACACGAGATGCAGACCCCCCCGTGCGTTGGGGCACCTAGCTCTAGCCTGTAGTTGTACAGGAGTGACCAGCAGGCTGGCTGCTGTGGTGGTTGATCTTGATCTTTCCGTCGTTAGCTTCCCACACCCGTGTGCATTTAAAGAAGATCCGAGGATCCCGGTAATGGGCGAGCAGCACCTTAATGCCTGTATGCTTGTATCCCCTTCTCACTCCAAGGGAGCTGTACTAGGGGAGTGTTTTTCTCAGCACAGTTATTATCCGTTTGAATTTCCGCCACTTCGGCCAGTCGGCACACTGATGCTCGGCCCTCATATGCCCTCATGCCCCTCCATTTCGTGTTGCACCTCTTTCTCGTCCTTAAGAGCAGAGACTCATTTCCTGTTTTGATGAACGCACGCAATGCATGCATGACCCCGGGACGATGTTTACCTCATACCGCATATGGCCATACCGCCGGTCATATTTTCCGTGTTCCGTGTTTTTGACTCTTGTTATAAATAAAAAATGTCGCTGCAGGGTTCCCACCCCCCCTACCGGCATTTCCGGACTTCGACTGCGGCAACTCCCGTTCTCTGTCGTACACGGCGGCGGCGACCGACTCCTTCTACGACCTAGCCAACCAGTTCCAGATCCAGTTGTCTATAACGCAGATGATGTACGACAATGGCCTTGATTACCGAACAGGGCTGGCTGACGGACTAGAACTCATTATCAACTGCCCAGGTGTGCCGAATCCGTACAAGTGACCCTCGGCAGTTTCGGGCCTTATTATTCAACTCCCTAAGTTTATAGGTAGCTTGGGGGACAGTTGGTTAGTTCTTGTTGGACAACCGATTTCTGAGGGGGCTATATAACGTGTGCTACGCTAGGCCAACATTACAGGGGCCGGAAGCAACAGCACCGAGGCCCTAGCAAAGGGATTATGGTCCGCATTACAATGTCCGCCAGCCACCCGACGCTTAGAAAGCGTGTGCACATCAACTTTTTCTAAAGAAACTTTAAAAGTTTTTTTGAGCCTGACGCGCGCGCGCGTTTTTTAAAAGGGCTAAGGCTGGCCATGGGACTTAGGAGCGTTGTGGGAAAAGACCTGCAAGCAATTAAATATTGGCTTCACATAAGGGTAAGCCCGGGTGCGGCCACACCGCCCCGAATCGAATAAACAAGGCCTACAGACCAACCGCCTTAGGACCTACAGTACCCCCAAATATGTAGCTCTACACAAAACACGAATTAACCACAGCAGCACCGTCGCTCACAGCGACACATCACCAGCCGGCACCATGCCACCATACCTTGCAGATTCCTCTCCCATTTCACGGAAAACCACACCAGGCCCCTGCTGGTCAAAACTTCAGTCCGCTCCACGTCGTCGCTAGGAAGTCGCTATCAGTTTTGTAGTACTACTAGCCGCGGGGGGGCACTCCGGGGCTCTATGATGATGATGATGATTCTCGTGCAGACCCCGCTACCAAATACACACAACTTTTGCTCTTCCCTGCGCTTTTGAGCACGAACCCACCTTGCTGCTGCCGTACATCACGCCTTGCAGTTGGAGTTTGGAGCAAACCGTACGGCACGTACAACAGCTCAGATGTGGCCATTTACGACGGCATGGCAGCCGCGTCCGGTGTGTGGCTGTGTCCCCCGGGCGAGTATGCAGTCAAGTTCTCCGTCAAGTCAAGCTTGGCCTGGAGCGGCTGGGTTGGCACCCTCACCATGCAGTGCAGCGGGGGGAGGAGTTTCACGGCGGATGCGCAGCCTGCCACTTCCTCCTTTGCCCCCATGGATGGCGCCGCATGGCAGCCCAAAGGTGCGTGCCTGTGTGTGTGTGTGTGTGTGCGTGGCTGTGTGTGTGTGTGTGTGTGTGTGTGTGTGTGTGTGTGTGTGTGTGTGTGTGTGTGTGTGTGTGTGTGTGTGTGTGTGTGTGTGTGTGTGTGTGTGTGTGTGTGTGTGTGTGTGTGTGTGTGTGCTGCACTTTACATCATCATCCAACCAGCCCTGACGCTCGCCGATTTCAGCTACTGGACCTAACAGAAATGCCCGGGGGCGGATGCCCAACGTCCCAAGAGAAAGATCGCCGAAATGGGGCCCCGTGTGGAGGGGCCCGTGCGTGTATATGTGTGTGTATGTATGTTGTTACAGGGTGGTTAACTTCGCCAGCGGCCCCCTTTCCCGGGGCAGTCCCTGCTCTCCCCTGCTAGAGGGGCACCCTAATCCGTCACCCCATCCGATTTCAGAATGTATACGTTGGGTTCGGCAACTCACCACCAGCATCCAACCAAATCTAGCGGATCAATGGCGCATCAACTTAGATTCTGGTCAGCGCGCAAGTTGATAATATCACGACCTATATCGTACGTGTGATGGGGGGCCACCTCCCGTTTCAATACTCCTCGAACACCCGAGGAGCTGACTGGCAGATTTGAACCCGGGTCGGCCGGGAGCAGAAGTCAGGCCTTAACCTCTGCCAGCCGCCTGCCTTCTGTGTGTATGTATGTGTGTGTGTTACATGCTCGTGGGGGTGCGTACCCCGTACCTGCAAACCGCCCAATACGGGCCCAGGTCTCAAGGGCTGCCAAACTGCCCATACGCCGCATCCTACTTCGCACTTCAGACAAAGCAAGTGATAGAGGAGACTAACGATCAAAGGGAACGACATAGAGTTGCGGTGGTGGGACCACATACGTATGTCCCCCGGCTCAGGTCCCAGGGCTCCCCTTTACTGACCTTGCTCTCCAGGGTTTGTACAACTTTGCATTTGTAATGTAAAGTAATGTAATGTAATGTAATGTAATGCAATGTAATGTAATGTAATGCAATGTAATGTAATGTAATGTAATGCAATGTAATGTAATGTAATGCAATGCAATGTAATGTAATGTAATGCAATGTAATGTAATGTAATGCAATGTAATGTAATGCAATGTAATGTAATGTAATGTAATGTAATGTAATGTAATGTAATGTAATGTAATGTAATGTAATGTAATGTAATGTAATGTAATGTAATGTAATGTAATGTAATGTAATGTAATGTAATGTAATGTAATGTAATGTAATGTAATGTAATGTAATGTAATGTAATGTAATGTAATGTAATGTAATGTAATGTAATGTAATGTAATGTAATGTAATGTAATGTAATGTAATGTTACAGGGTGGGAGGCTTCTGGGCCGCTTTGCATTTATCGTGGCTTGCTCTCCTCATGTTGCCACAGGGTTCCAAATTGCCGCTATCGAGGTTGGTCCGGTGGACTCTGCCATTTACAGCGTTTTCGGCGTCGGCGCCTCCGCGACCAAGGGCGGAGCGCAGGAGTGGTTCACCTGTCCGACTGACTCGTTAATCACCGGTTTCTCCGCCGGTGCATACCCGCCCATGTACGACCGCGCCTCTCCCAACAGTTGGCTTATGAATCTCCAGTTCTATTGTCAAGGTAACCCGGGAGCCCTCCAAGGTGTCCCTTCAGATGTTTTTTGGAATCTAGTAATGTATTGCTCGTTGGCGCCTGTGTGTCGGTGGCGCTGATACACAGCGAGTCATACACATGCACCAACACACACACACACACATACATACACAAACACACACACGCCGATACGCACACACACACACACACGCGCGCGCGAGCTCGCGTGACGGAGCCTTGACTCGTGAGAGAGCGTGCGCGTGTGCGACGCCTCCCAACTCCGGGGGGGGGGGAGGAGAGCGGAGCTAGCGGACCTGCGGCTCTCGGTTGCTTAGGAGGGGGCAGAGGCCCCCCTCTAGCGCCCCTCTCCCGTCCGCGGGAGAGAGCTTAGGCGGTCTTTCCGTCGGGGCTGGGCAGCAGCCCCTGGCCAGTGTCAGGCCCGGTTATATACTTGTAACCTTAACACATACAAACACACACACACACAATAAATGTCGCAATAAAAACATGTCGCAAGCGTCTTTTCCAGCCTAGGCGTTACGTGTCGTAAGGGAGTGGGGAGCTTATTTAGAGCATTTCCGGGGCTATGGGATTCAGGGGCATTCCGGGGCTGTGGCCGATAGTTGTGACAGCTGCTAAATGTCTGATAACCTGACAGCCGGGGCAGCGGCCGGCCCACGGCTCCCTTACCTTTACTCGTCGGTCGCCCGAATTAATGAATCAAAAGTGTGACATTTCTTGAATTGCTTTAATGGTCCTCTTACCACGGAGCCAGTTTGACCACGTAGGAGCTCATTGCGCAATTGCTAAATCGGTTGGACCCGCAGTGCCTGATTGCCAATGCTGCTGTGTACGGCGCACATGGCGTCACGTGCATGAGGACCACGTGACGCGACTGCGCGTTAACGTAGCTCTTCCAGCGCCCCTCCCGCACCACCCCTCCGCCGTAGCCGTAGCCACCTCACCGCAAACAATCTAGTCTGCCCGCGTTTGCTTTGTGTTGTGTCCTGCCCAGAGACATGTTTGACTGATCGGGGATTTCCGTGCCGTGCCGTGGCGTGCCTTCCAACCCACTGAACCAACCCCTGCCCCAACCGTTCAACCTACTTTTGCTGGTAACAGTTGTCAGTTACGCCCCGCCGCCGGCGGGGTCGCCGCCATCTTCGAAGCCGCCGCCCCCACCACTTGCGCTGGCCTCACCACCGCCGTCGCCATCGCTTTCACCGCCGTCGACGAGGCCTTCACCACCACCACCACCACTTGTGGCCGTACCGCCGTCGCCGGCTACCGCCGTACCGCCGCCCCCGACTAGCGCCGTACCGCCGGGAGGTGCGACCCATCGCGTTCTTGCTTCGTTTTTAGATGCATGACTGAGAGGGCCGGAGGACGCGGCACCGTAGCCAACTAGGTGCTCCTCCGATAGGTGGTGATCAAGACAAACATTAGCATTTGGGTTTCGGGTTACCCGCGGCACGTGCACATTGCCTGCCGGGCGCTTTGCCTGCCTCCTCATCCTGTGTCCAAACAAACACAACTCATGTTTCCGAAATAATAGGCACAGGTTTAAAAAGTGTCTCCCCTCGCCGGGGTTGCGCACTGCCATGCATGCCCGCTATCGTAATGCGCATTGCGTTGTTAAACAAAGCTCAGCTTGTGCACTCAGTAGCGCACTCGGCGACCTAGCACTCGTTTGCCAGCTAAAAGCACGCACGCGCGCATGTGCGCACAGTGCCGGTGCATAACGACCCAGCACAAATCTGATGATTCTGTTGCACCAGCCGACCCGTGAAACCTATGTGCCTCGTCCGTTGCGTGCGAGGATCATCGCCCTGCCTCCTGTACTTTGATTGGGCCCGCACCCCGCCCTGGACGGAAAACGGGGCTGCTCGCATGCTAACCCCCGTGCTCTGTGCGTGTGTGTGTGTATATATACGCGCCTCGATAAAGAATATTCCAGCCCTGCCCCTGCCCCTGCTGCTATTGTATGTTGCTGTTTGAGTTGCTTCATGATTGTCGGGTTTCAGCGAGCAAGCAAAATTATGGTACTCCTTGTGCCGCTGTTGCTGCGACATTTTTTGCTGCCGCTGTATGTCTCATGCTTCATATCCCCAACAGAAGCACCTGGATCGAGCCCTGGCACCGTAATCTCCTGTGAGTGGGCGTTGGGTGTAAAGTTGAACGCATATCGCGTGGCTAGCAAGTTGCCTAGTAAGGGTGAAGTGGTTTCCAAGACGAGCGTGTGGACGGCATGCATCCCTGCACACGGCGGACTGCTGTAGTTGCTGTCCGCTGAAAAGGCCTCTTCTCACACGTTTTGCTGCTGCTGCTGCTGCCCCGCTCATCATCGTTTATCATCGTTTATCATCATCATCATCATCATCATCATCATCATCATCGTCATCATCATCAAATCGTCGTCGTCGCCATCATCATCAACATCATCATCTTCACCATCGTCAGGGTCTCCTCGTCCTCCAAGCCGATTTGCGCCCCGTCCTCCGCCACCCGCATTCGGCACTTTATACGCCGAACAGCGGGCAGGCGGCCGCTGCAAAGGAGTTTACTGCCTCCACTCCAATACGGCAACTGCGTACGGCATCCTCACGGCCATCATCTGTGGTGGCATCTGTTTCATAAGCTTGTTGATTATAGCGGCCTTATACATCAGGAAGAAGAAGAAGGTGGGCGGCAAGTTGTAGCAAGGAATGATGTTTTGTTTCGTACCTTGCTTTTGGCCTATTGTGGCGGCCCACGTCGGCCGCACACTCTCCTGCCATGCCAGGAGCGGAACAACAACAGCCCGCGGCTGCTGTGTTTTCCACATGCTTCGGGTTGCGGGGCTGGGACCCCTCTGATATACAATATGGAGTCGTCCACTAAATTCTCCGTCGCTGCTTTAAAAATTTGATTAAGCTATATCGTCGACTGGTTCGCGATCAAGCATATGTGTGCCCCTGTGCTTCACTTACATGTGCATTCAGGTGGCCAAATACCTGGCCAGAAGAACGCAGCCGGACGAGCCCAACGCTGAACCTGAGGTATGGAACAACTTCAGAGGATGGTATCGAGAGATGAAGAGAAATACCTTTGCAGCGATGCACGTGTATAAGATGGTCGGAACGGCAAATAACGCGCCCGTGCTGGCTCCGCCCATGCTACGCAACGGTGGCGACGGCTTCATCATGTACAATCCAATCGCCGAATTTTCAGGGGGCGGAGGAGGACCGGGTGGACTCGGTGGTCCGCCGACCATGCGCCGCATCCACACCAAAGGGCGCATGGGCTACAGTCCCTCTGCAGCAACCATTCCTCGCAACCTCGCCTCATCGGGGGTTGACGACGACGACCGCAGCAGCTTATCATATCCCAACCGCAGCTCACATCATAAGAGTCGCAACCATTCTTCCCCACCTAGCGCCCCTGACAGCCCCTACCGAACCATTGCCTCCAAAATTTATGATCCCGCTGCACCGCCTGAGCCACCGACAAGGCTCGATGGATCCTGGCACAGCCGCAATCCCACAACAGCACCCCACAGCCCCCGCCCCTGGCCCAACTCACTCTCCCGCAGCCCCAGTGCCACCACCTTACCATACAGCCTCATATCCACCGCACCCCACAGCCCCCGCCCCTCCTCACAGCCACATGACATTACAGATGTTGCATCTATTTCCCGCCGGCAGGGCGCCGCTGCGAGCCCCAAGGACAAGCGTCTCATCACGGCGGCGGCGGCGGCGGCGGCGGCTGCTGACAAGACGAACGACGAGTTTGCGTTGACGATGGATCCCGATATGGTTCTGGAGGGCTCCGTCTCGTCAATGGACCGTGCCAGGCACCAACATGGAGAAGGAGACGCTGGATATGCAGCAGCAGCAGCAGCAGCAACACCAGCACGCGGTGGAGACCCAGCATGTGAGTACAGAGGCACAGACCGATCACGATCATATCTCCCACCCTTGGCACTCAGACCGCACCCTGAACCGTCATCCTTACTAAGAACGTCAACATCACGGCAGGGGCCGTCAGGGGGGTCCTCTCCATATGGGGCACCAACAGCAGATGGGAGCTATGGGCCTAGGGCAGAGTCAGACAGGCTGCCGGCAGGAAAAGCTTGTTCATCGAAAGGTGCATCAATGGGGGAAATGGCAAATGCAGCGACCACCACACCCTTGAAAACGTCAGGTTTGAAAAATGCATTATCACCAAGAGATGTTATCATGCGACCGGGCCCATCTTCGCCCACATCACGGCCAAGGAGGATATCATCTTCGACAGGTATAGCACCAGTTCGATCATCGAACTTCGAATTAGATGCCGCGAGATCGTCCAGAGGAGGATCAGGATCGAACCGTCCATCGATGGGGGGGAACCCATCGTGGAAAGAGACACGTGTATCGCCATCTAGGCAGTCGTCATCATCTAGGCAATCACCATTACCGTCAATCAAGCCACGGCCAAAGAGGGTATCGTCCATGACGGCGATAACCGCCATGCCACCGAGGCCGTCACCATTGCGGCTGAGGCCACGAAGGAGAGTGTCATCCATGTCCTCTATACCTACGGTGCGTTGGAAGGACCTTCCATCAAAAGACTCACACTCAAACACCCAGTTGAAGTCAGCAAGGTCATCTGGAAGCTCACTATCGGACCATCCGCCGCAGCGAGGTCCACCATTGAAAGAACCACAACGATCACTTCAGTCATCTCGAACAAGTGCACCGGTATCCCATCGGCAGTCGTCATCTGGAATATCATCATCAGCATCCAAACCATTGCCGCCATTATCAAGTAAGCCACGGGCAAAGGGGGTACCGTCCATGGCAGCGATGCCGATACCGGCACAATCACCAAAAGCACGACCAACGGCAAGCGGGGGACCATCCATGTCAACATCGTCATCAAGGTGGAAGGATGTACCATCCAGGTACTTGGAGTGGAGCAATCCGGCATCAGCAACCAGCAGATCAACCAGCAGATCAGCTAGAGATAATAAACCGTCAAGAAATGCATCACCATCACCATCACCATCACCAACACCATCAAGAGGAGGTCCCCCGCCGAGAGCTCCCGCGCTCAAAAGCGCACTAGCAAAAAGTGCACGATCGGATATAATATCACCATCACGGCCAGCAGTGCCAACCAAAGGTTCAACATCGAAAGGCGCAACGTCGAAAGATGAACGTCTGTCCAGTAAGCCGTCAATCAAGCCACGGCCAAAGAGGGTATCGTCCATGACGGCGATACCCGAGGTCATGCCACCTTCGAAAGCATCACAGCCAAAGCCACGACCGCGGAGAGTGTCATCCATGTCATCGTTGACAACGCAGTGGAAAGATGTGCCTTCCAGGTACTTGGAGTCAAACATTCCGACACCTGCCGGTCACAGAGCGTCCGAAGGCGGATCGGCACCGTCGAGAGCTGCATCTTGGAGAGGGGGCCCTCCACCAAGAGGCCCGGCATTGAAAGGCTCTCGGTCGACCGCTGTGTCACCATCACGGCCTGCATCAACAAAAGCAGGAGCGAGTCACTCAAAGCCCGAACCGTCGGTGCCGCCGCTATCGCCCGCACAATCGCTTCAAAGGTCGCCGTCAAGGTCAGCGTTAAAAGCGTACAACAGTACACACAACACACACAACACACAGAAGTTACGGCCAAGGAGGGTCTCCTCTATGACTTCAATACCCGCCCCATCGGCCTCATCAGCAGTAATGAAACAGCAGCACTCTAGGAATGCGGCGTCCATGACATCCATACATAATGGTAGGGCATCACTGCGAAGTGTTCGGTCGCGATCGTCTCACCCGGGGACGCTCCAGCAGCCGCCGTGGAGACCGGGGGGCATTGCAAGCGCGAGAACGACAATGACAAGGGCATCAGCGTCAAGGATGTCATCGGTGTCGAGGATGTCATCACGATCAATGTCTAGAAGAGCAGTATCTGCGCCAGGCTCACCAGCATCCTCGAGAGGGCCATCTAGAGAACCGTCCATGACACCATCGAGGACGTCATCGTGGGAACCGGCACCTCCGCCGTCGCCCAGCAGAACTCGTCACCCAGGCGACGCCAGGCACACGGAGCCGACGTCATCGCACAACAAAAGACCGCATACGCCGGAACACCGCCACAAAGTATTGCCCCCGCCAGAACAGAGGCATAAACGGAGAGTGCAAGAACCCCAATCACCCGCAACGATGAAGAGCTTAAAAAGTTGGTTCACCCAAATGTTCTCCTAGAGCTAAAGCATCTTCTTCAGGTATGCTGTTGACAAAAGGTTGCTCTTGGCCCTTCTTTCCCTAGTTGCAGGTCCTGACCGGCGTCTGATGGCTGCAGAGCGGCGGACGTCCCCAATGCTACCCCCAACAATAAAGAATGCATACGCATTTGCAATAGTGTCAGTCAGTAACAGTGTATGTACGTGCTCTGCTGTGCATCTCTAATCTGTTCCCCCCAGCGACATTGCTACTGCTGCGGTACTACTGCTCCCTCAGCAGCGCTCACATACATATAACCCTATCCATGCATGGCTTGCAGGAGGCTGCTGTATGCATAGGAGCTACGAGGAGGCCAGCCATACTGTTATGCTTCTGCTGGCAGTAGCGCATTTGCGCCAATCAATCGTCGGTCATCGGTGCACACCATCAGGTGCATTCAAGCCAGCTTGTACGTCATCACAGTCGTCGCACCGCATGGTTGCTTCCTTCATAATGTGGCCCGGAAGCAACGCCATCCATGTGTGTTTTCAAGTGCAGAAAATCATCATCATGGCCATCCATATGTGTGTGTGTGTGTGCGCGTGTGCAAGCAACAAACATGCGCATGCACGCCGCTGTGACCACAACCCTGTGTGTATGTATGTGCACGGTCATCACTCGCTGATGATGGCCGCAAGCTTGCTCTCATCGCCAAAGCAAAGCTGAGCACCATCACTAACCACCTGTGTTCTTGGCATCTGTGTATTGTTGGCGTTCCCGCGGCTGGAGGAACGTAGTCCTTGGCGCCATCCATCCTAGCAGGGGGAACATCGCTCCTTACAGATCCCTATTCATTATTCCTCATTTGTTTGTTGAGCTGGCGCGTGCATGTACGTGTATCATCGTCAGGTACATCGGGATGGGCCGCCGGTGCGATTAGCTGCTGCTGCTGCTGCCTCGCCCCGCTTCATCGTTGCATGGATTATCGTTTACGAGGTTCTCCGTGATCGGTTGCTGTACATGATGATGATGATGAAGGTCCTTCATTGTTGCTTACTGGATGCATGCATGTGCATCGGCGGCACGGAGTTTATTACTATTATTATGTGTCTGTGCCCCTGCATGCATGTATGTATTCATGCGTAAGATGTCATATTTATCCAAAACCGTAATTTTTTTCTTCATTAAGTGGAGACTCTTCATTTCTTCACAGGTCTAGAAATTTCCTTGTGCCGATGCTTGCATGTCGTGAGATGGCCTCTTTGTACTCCTACTGTGTGTTACGGCAAAGCACCACGGAAAAGCATGCATTATTGCTGTTACTATTTATTGCCAACAGTGTACACGGCGGGGTGAGTGTTGTGGCGCGACCGCCACCACCGGCGCCGCCGCCAGGCGGGTGCCGTTAATTGGTGGTGGCCTGTGCACACGTACAGGCGCGCGCGTAGACGTCGGCCGTCACACCATAAGGCCGTCTGTGGCTCATGTTGCACTGACATGCATACATACATACATGCGTGCACGTATGTACAGTTTGTCCATCTGTCGCTTCTTGAAGTGCCCCTGCGTTTCCCAGCAGATTTCCAACCTGCACGAAATTATTGATTATTCGTCTGCCGAGTTGACGACTGTGGCCATTGGTCATTATTAGAGAAATCTAGCTTACATGACCTGCTTGCCTGTATGTCTGTCTATCCGTTGATGGCTGGTTAGTTTTCGCAACACATGCTACCAACTCTATCGGGGCTTTCGACAGCAGGGCCAAGCAAACAGGGCCTAACAGCAGGCCTTATTAACAGCCTGTTTGGCCTTGTTGATGCCCCTAGGAGTTGGTAGGGTGGGACAGAGAAAAGACATGGCGTACACATCGAAACATCTGCCTCGCTCATCAAGGCCGGGGCTTGCTATAACAAACATCCGATGACCCTGTCCGATGCGATTTCTTACTGTCATGCGATTTCTTACTTTACGGGTCCATAGCAACGACATGGAGAGCGAGGAGTGTATCCATACATTCGGTGTGTGCCTGCCTGCTGGTGATGATTATGTCATCTACTGGACAGCTTATTAGGGGCAGCAGTTCCCTTCTAATGCGACTAGCTTGCCAGCCAGGCAAACCTATCTATCGCCATTTTTTTATCGAGTGACGTTTACTTGCTTTACTTGTCCTGCGTGCGGATTGCTTGTCGATGTGTGGTCGAGTGAGTTCGTCTGTATGTATGTGGGAGATATAGAGCTCAGCTGCGCCACCGCCGCCGTACCGGGCACACGCAACTCTAGTTCCTTGTCCTTGTGCAATCCATCGCAATGCACCTTAATGTATGGGATTGTAGGTCTTGACTATTTAGGTAATAAGTATTTGTCCTGGGTGCAGGCATCGAGAGGAGAGTAGCTACCGGCCCTTGAACCGGTTGGTGCCTATTAATTGCGGGCGTGTTGGTTCTTAATGACTAGCCTTCATTATTGACAGCGCATCCTAGCACTCCGTGATGCGCTGCAACGAGCGTCTTGATCGTTAGATGTCCGCTCGCGCAGGCCGCCGCCGGCGGCGAAGCGAAGGATTATTATAACGGAGCGATGATGGATCACGCCACATACAGGACCGGATCTGCTGAATGGATTACCACGCACGTGTTAGCAAGCAGCAGCAACAGCAGCAGCAACAGCAGCAGCAGCTCGTCGCCCCTCTCTGTTCATTACCACCACCTGCTGCTGCTGCTGTTCACTCGTCCACCTGCTGCCCTTGGCTGTGGTCCAGGGCAAACAATCCGCCACTTTCCGGCGTCGTCTCAGTTGCTATGTTACTCGCCCCACGTTATGCTGGCGATACCATATATGAGCACGGCGGAGGTCGTACATCCGGCCCCGCATACTTGCTTATGGTCTCCATTACACTGAAACTGAAAAAAGGCGTGCGAGCAATGAAAGATTGGCTTCATGAAAGGGTAGGGCCGGGTGTGCCGCACGCTACCCCGAAACTTTTAAGATTTACGCAGAATGGTGGCCGCCTGCAATCCCTCAGAACAGCTCCCGAGGGCATTGCGCCATGCAAACCCCCAACCGCCGGGCCTGAGGACAGAAAACGTCAGAGGCTACCGCCCCTCATGCACCTCTCAAAGCGCCCACCGACCTCTGCAAGTCAACACCTTCGTGTTGGCCCCACCCACCCACCCACGTAAGGCAAGGCTGCTGCCCTTGGTCTGTCCAGTGGGTTCCCCCCGCCCAGCCCATCTGGCGAGTTAACACCCGCGCCTGCAACACCAACGAGGCTGCTGCCTCCCAGCCTTGTTTCAGGGGTATCCCCCGTAGCCGGTTAACACTCGCCCCGGGCTACACCGCACACCTGCGGCTTCTATGTCACGCTCCCCTGATCCCTGCCCTGCAAGTTATCACCGACTCAGCCACGACCCGACCGAGCCGCCATGGCGGTAGTCCCGCATAACCCCACTTCTTGCCCCCCTGCACTCCTTCGCGAAGTGACCCAACTCGTCGCGCTTGAAGCACGCACCACCTGTTGGCGGTGCGGTGCCTTTACTACAGCTGCCGCTGCCGTGGCTGGGGCCCGCCCTGGGACCTGCCTGTCTGAGTTTCTTGCTCGCCGTGGATTTCAAGGCTTGCTTTTCAGCGCCTTGTGTTCCTCCTCCGTCTCCGCGTACATCATTCCCTGCATCTCGTGAGCTACGTCCCAGCCCGTGGTTGAACGCGATAAGAAGCTCTTAAGCGAAACCCCGGAATACGTCCTTGCACTCGGCCAGCACCGCGTCGATCTTGGCGTCGATCTTGGCCACTCGGTCCGGGCTCGTCCGGGCACGTCCGGGCCTCCAGCACGTTGTGCCACGCGTCCTCCACGTCAAGCACAGCGTTATAACACGTTTCACTGTGCGAACGCTGACCGCTCAGGGACTTGTTCACTCTGCCTTCGCAGGCGCCGAAGCCGCATTTGAATTCCTCAAGCGTGAGCGGCACGTGGTCGCTTCGCCGGGGACCCGTCAACAGCTGGCGCGTCCTCCTGCGGTCGCAGCTAGTCTTTTTAAGGCGCCAAGATGCGTTTTCGCGGCCTCCAACTAATTCATTGCTGACTGTTGTTGCTTGGTCAAAGTCGCCGTTGGCGGGATTGCCCTTGAGCCGGTTGTGCGCGGCCTTGAAGTCCTCATTTTCCATAAGAGATAAAACGCGAGTATTTGCATTCAGGCTTACCGAGGTGTCGCTGTCAATCATCGTCAGTTGAACTGGGCACACCACCCCGAAGCGACAAAACAAGGCCTACATACCAACCGCTTCACGGCAGTACCCGAATGTAACTTCCTTGCTCTTGCTGCTGCTGCTGCTGCTGCTGCTGCTGGTAGATGGTAGATGGTACTTAGGTCAACCCTTCGTTAGTGCAAAAATCTTTAATTTTTTTTTATTTCTGGTAAAAAGAAAAAAGAAAAAAGAAAAATTATTTTAACTAAATTACTTGTGAAGTTCTGGAAAACTTAAAAAACTTTTTAGGAATTCATAAAAAACTTTTTAGGATCAGGAAAAACTTTTAAGAAAAATCGGAGGTGTAGATTAAAGGTAAAAGTAAAAAGTAAAAGTTAAAGGTTAGAGTTAAAGTAATGAGTTAGAAGGTCGTATTAGTCGAAAAGAATCGAAAAACTAAAGAGGAGAAGCTGGAAAGAGAGGTATGTGTTATAGAGTCTGTTTTAGGGGTGATTAGCTAGGGTTGAGAAATAGGTAAGTTTTGTGAGAGAGGTTTGGAAGGTTTAGACTGAGGGGATAAAAAGCGACGAGTATAAATTTATTGAAGGTATGTTGTGTGTGGAGGGCTTGAAAGTAGTTTTTGTGTATAGGTGAGGTGTAAAGAACTAGAGGTGGAGTTGTGGCTGAGGTGAAGGAGTGTTAAGGAAAGATAAGTGCTGGGAGGGGTTTGGTCTAAGTTGAGAGTTTTATAGGTGTAGTGCGAGGAAGGTAGTGAAAAAAGGAAATCTAGTTGTAGCGGGAAGAGAACTAGATGGGCTGCTAAGCGAGTGCAAGCTGACCTAAAGAAAGCCGCTGAAGCTATATTTAGCAAGGCACGTCACGACGCGTTTCGGCCTTGCCAGGGCCTCATCAGGTGACTCTTGCGCTAAGTTTAGGTGCTTTGCTATGCTAAGAGCCCCCTGAGATGTAGAAAACGTAAACTGACCGTAGTGGGCGAACTGTACCAGTGGTGAAGAAGTTTGGTGGTGGTAGTTGGTGTTCGCAGAGCGGTTTTAGTCCAATCGATGGTGGTTGTCAAGTGGTGAGCGAGGACGAGCCTGAATGAAAAACGTAATGATAGTGAGTTGTAAAGTCAATTGCAGTGGGTGTAGGAGCCTGGTTTGGAGGTTTATGAGCAGTTACGAGTTGGCATGGCGGGTATGTAAGATATGGGTACTCGACGAGCAATCACGGAGGTTGAAT